ATTATTGAAAATATGAATATTTATGAATTATTTTTTTATTCACTCACCTAATAATGCTAAAGAAAATAATGAAGGATCTAAACAGTGGATACTAATAAACGAACCTACTGGAATAACAAAAGAAATCCAAATTTCCCAAGCAATTTGTAACAGTTTTCACGTTCCGCAGAAGACTATGATTTTTAAAGACCACAAAGTCACTGGGATATAAAACATTTATAACAATATCACAGTATAGATAGATAGATACATTTTTTTTTTTTTTAGATTATTTATTCATACAATTATTCACACACACTCAGCCATCTGCACAAATACAATATATATACATATATTTATATATGTTTATGTATATATATATGTGCATATATAGATAGATGAATAGAAGTTTGTGTGAAGGTATGTATATATATATATATATATATATATATATATATATATATATATATTTTTTTTTTTTTTTTTTTTTTTTTTTTTTTTTTTTTTTTTTCTTTTTCTTTTTTTTTTTTTTTTGTACATATATATATATGGACATATACGTCTGTAAATAAAGTACGTATATACTTATAAAATTATATAAATGCGTGTATGTATATGTGCTTATGTATGTGTGCGTGTGTGCATGCTTGTGTACATATACATAGATATGTATATTAACATATGCATATATATATATACAGATTTACACATACCCATACGCACACACATTACACACATTATATTAGATCTGCATACATACATGTGTGTGTAATTTATATATACATTTCTTAATAGATATACGCATATATATATATATATATATATATATATATATATATATATATATACACTTGTGCTCTACACATTCATATATGTATATGTATATACACATATATATATATACATACATATGCATAAATATATATATCCATATTTGTGTATGTCTCTCTCTCTCTCTCCGTCCTCTGCGTTTCATTACCAATATCGTTATTTTTGGACATAATTATCAATACATACATGCATTTATATATATATATATATATATATGAATATATATATATATATATATATATATACATATATCTATATATGCATATATACATACACTCATATGTGTATATATTTATAAACGTATGTAAATGTGTATTTGAAAAATTATGTCACAGAAATAACGGTCAAACACATAGGACAGAGAAAGGAAAAACGTCTCCATCTCTCCGTGGCAGGTCTGGCTGGCTCAAGGATACCTTTCACTGTAATTATTTGTTTCCAGAAATGCTGCCTTTTCTATTTCTGCTTAAGCAATTGTCTGTGTGCTTTGTTACCATTGATAATACACGTAGTTTAAAATAAAATACAAACACGAGAAAACGTTTAAATTGTAAATGAATCAAAATGAAATTAACTTCACGGTTCGATGGTGCAATTTGGGGGAGAAGGAGGTTGGGAAGAGGAATACTGCTCGCTATATAAAGGACGCCCACTATCACGGTCGCTACAGTTCGAAGGCATCGATAGCTGAGAGTACAAGCATGGCTTTAGAATACTTGGTGAGTTCATAGTATGTTCTAAATTTACAGATCCATGCACGCATATAAGCACACATATAGGTGTAGGTATGAATGTGTTTATACGTGCGTACATGAAATACCATGTATATACAAGTTTAATCAATATGCTAAAATCTTACCATATTCTGTCTCGCAGGTTTCGTTGTGTTTGGCGGTTGCAGTTGTGGCCGATCAGACCTCACACGTCAGCATCAGTCTCGGTGGTGCTCCTGCTATCAGCCATCACAGTTCCTCTCCCCACGCACGCACTTCATACCACCATCAACCTACCTACCACACACAACCCTCATACCATCCACAACCTTCCTACCACCCTGCTCCCGCTTATCACCCACAACCTTCCTATGAGCATGAACACGAGCCTGCTGTGCCAGAATGTGCTGCCAACACAACCAAATCATGGTGCCTCCAAGACGATCACTATCCCACCTACGAGATTAAACACGCAGCCGAGTATCACTACGAGAAGCTCCTCTCCCTCTATGCTGACGTAGTCGACCTTAACACCGAGCTGTCTGTGGACCGACCAAACACCCTGGAAGAGGAAACTTACTTGTGCCCATCAGAGACCGCTTACGTCAGGCCTCTTCGTGCACAGAACACCGAGGGAAAATGGCGTGTCGTTGTAAACAATATCGATGCCCATTATCAGACTCTTACTCAGACTACACGCATCGAAGAGTGTCTCACTTCCGCCGATGCATGTCCTCTGGTGCCTGAGTGCTATGAGTCCAAGTGTCTGCAGAAGTCCATCTACCACCGCTTCCTTGTCTACAACCCCTATGATCAGTACTTCCCCTTCGCCATTGAGACATTCAAGCTTCCCGCCAGCTGTGCTTGTCTATTGGGTGCTTACACCATCGATCATTAGTCATCAAAATATTATCGTAAGGCATATTAGAGGTGGGGGCATGAATTCAACATTATTTTAACATCATTGGTGTCCTGTGAACACAAGTCCGAGCCATATCATCCATGGAAAGTCGTGAAGTACGTGAAGAAAGCAGTTCTCTAGTCATCTTGCTGTGGCAGCAATGATTTCAAAGGACATCACAATCCCCACTCTTTTGAAACATGAAAATAAATATTTTACGTATCTTATGTTTCAATCTCCCTTCCAATATGCATATCATGAGGTAGTAATATACAATATTTCTTTCGTTTGACAAAACGTTTGGACTGCCAAGGAGTTTGCAGTAGAAATTCATTAAAAATGTTCCTGAATTTTTTTAAATATATGTTTTAATCTGATCTACAAACAACAGTTCAATTTTTCATAGGAGTCAGCAGAAAAAAAAATCGATACTTATTCTCAGGGAGACATGCTCATATATATGTGTCACGTATATATATATATATATATATATATATATATATATCTGTATACATATTGAGTACATATATACATGTATATAAATATATATGAATGTATGTATATATATATGCATGTGCGTTTATGTATATATGAATATATATATGTACATGTGTATGTATATACATATATATTTATTTACCTATGAACATACACCCGCGTGTGTTTCGCTGATTCAAAGGGCTTGGGGCTTTGTTGCTTACCTTACCTGGCTGTCAATGTTGGATAACATTTCAACTGACGTCTTCAGAATATTGCAATTACTTTAATGAACACCTTGGGCACGTGAACACCGCCGCTGTGGTGGTTCCCTTCCCCTTGAACTTGGCCTTGAACTGATGTGATGGCTGACGTTTTCCTCACACACTTCGATCCGTTTACTAACCTCTCCAATACGCAGACCCACTTTATGGTACTCAATAGTTCCTACATAGTTTTGGTGGTCAGTGTTTATCCGAATTTCTTGGTCACTAAGGTAACGAGTTACAATACGAGTATGATACTGTGGGAGGGAGTTGGGTGTATGTGCATGTCCAAGCGACCATGAGCCTCCCAGGCAGCTAGACCCAAAAATTGATCGCTTTGTCATTCACGCTCGTAGCTTGCCAAGGTTTCCAGCTCATTTCTCTCAGGTAAATTATTGGATTTCAGAGTATGCACACCTTCCGCCGCTTAAAATGGGACTTGTCCACATGCACATCGTTAAAGTTTATGTATATATGTGTCTGTGGGTGTATGTCTGTGCATGTTTGAATGTGAGCATATGCATGTACGTATCTGAATGTGTCCTGTGTGTATGTGTATGTCAGTGTTTGTCTTACATATACTGTATATGTGTCTGTGTGTTTATATATGCTTATATATATATATATATATATATATATATACATATATATACATATATTAGCATACGTGCAGGGGAATACATGTATATATACTATACATATAAGCATACGTAAATATACACTTACATAATTACATACATACATTTATAGATCCATAGACTAGTACGCATTAATGAAAATCCATATCAGCGTCTAAATATATATATATATGGATATATTTTTGATATATAAATACAATAAAAAGTATATTAATGGGTTATATACCTATATACACTCTATAAATGTATTTGTTCACTCCCACAAGATACGCACACACATGTGTATATATATATATATGTTCCTTTGTATAAATGTATATAGCATAGATGTCTTTTTACTTGCAAGCTTTATATGGGTGTATGAATATACTACTTGCGTTTTTGTGTTTATGTTATTGTGTATACATTTATATATAAACATATATGTGTGTGTATGGATGTATACACATATAAATAAATAATATATATGGATACATATATATCAATATATTAAACTTATATATATCCCTATATAAATATGTAAACTTATATATATCCCTATATAAATATGTAAACTTATTTATATACAGGGGCGTGAATTGGGTGAGGTGGCTGGAGGGCAGTTGTCCGCCCAAGACTCTATTTGCCCCCCTCAAGGTCTTACTTCCCCCCTCCCAATTTTAAATAAATTTATTCTAATGAATTACACTATGTCTGGTTATAGCATAAAACTGCCCTTAAAATAAGTAATTATTCCAAATTTTTGTTCACTTCGCAGGCCAACCCACCCTTGCCACCTGGCATATATACATTTATATATTATGTATGTAATATATACATATATATGTACACGTAATATGTAAATATTCATATATGTATCCATACAAACATCCACACCTACACCTGTCTACACACTTACGTATATGTGCACATATATAAATGACTTTGTACATTTGTGAATGACTGTGTGTCATGTTCGCTTCTTTCCTTCCAGGATAGAGGAGGATGAGAAGGGAAGATATTAGCGTGTCTGTATTAATGGGAAAGTAATAGCGACAAAGTCTGGAAACGATGCAGGAAACGCTTTTCTAACCTTGGGAGTCACGCATCTTCGTACTGCGTGGGTGTGGCCAAAGCGTACCTGGAGTATATAAGCTTGATAGTAACGGATGGGCGACAGTAGAAGCGATTTTCGTATCTATCTGCTCATTTCACCATGGCTCTTACATTGGTAATACTGCCAGTTTGAAGAAATTGAGTTTTCCGAAAAGCTATTTCTACTCTAATGTTAATCTTTGCTATTTGAAGAAATTGGTCTTTGCGAAAAGATTACTTTACTCTAATGTTAATCTTTGTTTTCCAGTCGGTCGTTCTGGCATGCGCCGGAATCGTTCTGGGCTCTGTCCATCCTCCAGCATATGGCCATCACTCACAGCCTGCTTACGGTCATCATGCGCCTGCTTACGGCCATCATGCGCCTGCTTACGGTCATCATGCACCTGCTTACGGCCACAAGCATGCCTATGAGCACGGTTACTGCGATCCAACGGTTGCTCCAGCATGCGCTGATAACTCCACTCTCTCCTACTGCTTGGAAGACACTGAGTATCCTGAGTACGAGATCAAGGCTGCCATCACTGCTGATCACCTTTTCGCCAAGAAGTACGCCGACGTAGCCGACCAGTCTGCTGATGACCTGGTAGACATGCTTACCAAGGATCAGGAGGAAGCCTTCGACTACTCTTACTACACTGGGGCTTCCACTGGGGACTCTCCCTACGATGCCACTCACTGGGCTGGTCCTGAGGGTTACATCTGTCCTTCCGATGTGGTGTATGCCATGCCCAAACGTGCCCAGAATGTGGACGGCAAGTGGCGCGTCATTGTGAACGACGTTCACTATTACACCCAAACTGCCCGCCTCGAAACTTGTCTGTTCCCAGAAGCTGCTTGCCGCGCCCTTGCTCCTTGCTACCAGAGCCACTGCACCCAGAAGTCAGTGTACCACCGACTTCTCTCCTACGATCCATGTGACCCCTACAAGGGCCTCTTCATTGACATCTACAAGATGCCATCTGCCTGCTCTTGCCACCTTCCCGCCTAACATGCCACCACAACGCTCCTCAATGAATCGCCTCTTCACACACAATCGCCATGGCGACCTCGGAACTACCGACAACCACTGTTAGTCCTTAAAGCGGAGAACGCCCCACGTGACTGGAGAACTGCATTCTTCACGTACCAACACTAGTCATGCCAGGAACCGCCGGCACACTCCCGCTGTTGACCCTTGTCTTCCTTCTTCAGCCATGTAAAAGACAGAAGCGAGACCTCCATTGTAATATCTTTTTTCATAAACAAATCCTTTTGAACATGTCTATATGATTTCTTACTCCTTTGCATGTTGTTTACTTATTACGTTTATCAGTAAAATAAGAAATAAGTAACGACAATTATAACGTTATATTCAGTTATGACAATTACAATTATGATGATTTTCATAAGAATGATACCAATGATAATAAAAAAAGGAACAAGATTGATAATGATGGTTGCTATTATAATCAGTAATAAGCATTAGAAGATGAATAACAATAATAATATCAATAATGTCTATGCTAGTAATATTGTTCACAATAATTGTAATAAAAGACAATGACGGCAGTGGTAATAATTAATAATAATAATAATATCAATAGTAACGATAGAACCTTATTATTTTTCGTTTACTAAATTGTAGTGAAAAAATAATAGTGACAATTTAATATTAATGAATACGTTAATGTTAACAATTATCAGTCTCGTTGTGACATTCTTATTGTTTCTATAAGGAAAGTTACAGTAACAATAAATTGTGAGTATATTAATTAAGGAAATAACAAAAGAAGGTAAAAAGTGCATTAATTGTTCGCACTGAGATATCATAACTGTCCATAGGTTGGTCTAATTTTCATTCAAAGACTCATTTTACGTAACTTTTGGGGTTACGTAATAATATGTGTATATATATGTGTGTATATGGAACGTTTTTGTAAGCATCTCCCTTTTACACTAAGAGTTCACTGCGATATCATAACTGTCTATGGATTGGTCTAATTTTCATGTAAAGTTTTGTAACGTTCTTGTAAGCATCTCCCTTTTTCTTACGCGAACGCCTTAAGGTAAAACAAAATTGATGGCGGTGACCATGCAAGGTAGGCGCGTATTTTCAGTCACACCTGTCTCAGAGCACGGTGCTCACCTACTTTATATTTTAATGTATATTAACAAGTCTGAGAAATTAAATTTCAACCCGGCAATGGTACTGAAGTAGGAGTCGCCGTAATAGCGTCCCTCTTTCCACTCTGAACAGGAAGTCTTGCAGTTTTCTTTCAATTAGTGAAAAGGGAGTAACGCCTGAATAAAACGAATATTCATTTCTTGTGTAAATTATTGAAAATATGGAATATTTATGAGTTATTTTCTTATTCACTTACCTGCTAAAGAAAATAATAAAGGATGTAAACAGTGGATGCTGTTAAACGATCCTACTAGAATAACAAAAGAAATCCATATATCCTAATCAATTTGTTAGTTTCACACACCGCAGAAGACTATGACTGCTAAACACCATAAAGTCACTGGGATAAAAAACATTTACAACGATATCACAGGATAGATCGACACATTTCATTTATTTATTTTTTAGATTATTCATTCATATAATTATTCACACACACTCAACCATTTGCACAAATACAATATATATACATATATTTATATATGTATGTATGTACATATACATATATATATGCATATATAGATAGATAAATATACGTTTGTGTGATTGTGTGTGTAAATATATATATTCATTTTTTCCTTTATACATATGTATAAATATAATTGTAAATAAAGTATGTATATACTTATGAAATCATATAAATGCTTGTATGTATATGTGCTTATGTATATATGTGCGTGTGTGTGTGTGCTTGTGTACATATACATAGATATGTATATTTACATATGTATATAGATACTGATTTACACATACCCACACACACACACACACAAAGACACCCACACATTACATGTATATTAGATCTGCATACATACATGTGTTAATTATTAATATGTATAAATATAATTGTAAATAAAGTATGTATATACTTATGAAATCATATAAATGCTTGTATGTATATGTGCTTATGTATATATGTGCGTGTGTGTGTGTGCTTGTGTACATATACATAGATATGTATATTTACATATGTATATAGATGTATATATATATTTCTGAATATATATACGCATATATATAAATATATATACTGGTGTGCTGTACACATTCATATATGTACATTATATAAATATATATACATACATATGCATATATATATATATATATATATATTCATATTTGTGTATGTTTTTTTTTTCCCCTCCGTCCTCTGCGTTTCGTTACTAATATCGTTATTTTTGGACATAATTATCAACACATACATGCATTTATATATATATATATATATATATATATATATATATATGCATATACATTTTTGTATATGTATATATACATACACTCATATGTGTATATATTTATGAATGTATGTAAATGTGTATTGAAAATTATGTCACAGAAATAACGATCAAACACATAGGACAGAGAAAAGAAAAACGTCTTCATCTTTCCACATGTCTGGCTGGCTCAAGGATACCTTTCACTGTAATTATTTGTTTCCAGAAGTGCTGCCTTTTCTATTTCTGCTTAAACATTCATTTTCCTTGTGTGCTTTGTTACCATAGATAATGCACGTAGTTTAAGATGAAATACAAACACGAGGGAACGTTTAAATTATAAATGAATCAAAATGAAATTACCTTCACGGTTCGATGATGCAATTTGGGGGAGTAGGAGGCGGGGAGGAGGTATACTGCTCCTTATATAAAGGACGCCCACTATCATGGTCGCTACAGTTCGAAGGCACCGATAGCTGAGAGTACAAGCATGGCTTTAGAATACTTGGTGAGTTCATAGTATGTTCTAAATTTACAGATCCATACATGCATATAAGCGCACATGTAGGTGTGGGTATGAATGTGTACCATGTATATACAAGTTTCATCATTATGCTAAAATCTTACCATATTCTGTCTCGCAGGTTTCGTTGTGTTTGGCGGTTGCAGTTGTGGCCGACCAGACCTCACACGTCAGCATCAGTCTCGGTGGTGCTCCTGCTGTCAGCCATCACAGTTCCTCTCACCACGCACGCACTTCGTACCACCATCAACCTACATACCACACACAGACCGCTTACCATCCACAACTTTCCTACCACCCTGCTCCCGCTTATCACCCACAACCTTCCTATGAGCATGAACACGAGCCTGCTGTGCCAGAATGTGCTGCCAACACAACCAAATCGTGGTGCCTCCAAGACGACCACTATCCCACCTACGAGATCAAACACGCAGCCGAGTATCATTACGAGAAGCTTCTCTCCCTCTATGCTGACGTAGCCGACCTCAACACCGAGCTGTCTGTGGACCGACCAAACACCCTGGATGAGGAAACTTACTTGTGCCCATCAGAGACCGCTTACATCAGGCCCCTTCGTGCACAGAACACCGAGGGAAAATGGCGTGTCGTTGTAAACAATATCGATGCCCATTATCAGACTCTTACTCAGACTACACGCATCGAAGAGTGTCTCACTTCCGCTGATGCATGTCCTCTGGTGCCTAAGTGCTATGAGTCCAAGTGTCTGCAGAAGTCCATCTACCACCGCTTCCTTATCTACAACCCCTATGATCAGTACTTCCCCTTCGCCATCGAGACATTCAAGCTTCCCGCCAGCTGTGCTTGTCTGTTGGGTGCTTACACCATCGACCATTAGTCATCAAAATATGATCGTAAGGCATATTAGAGGTGGGGGCATAAATTCAACATTATATTAACATCATTGGCGTCCTGTGAACACAAGTCCTAGCCATATCATCCATGGAAAGTTGTGAAGTACGTGAAGAAAGCAGTTCTCTAGTCATCTTGCTGTGGCAGCAATGATTTCAAAGGACATCACAATCCCCACTCTTTTGAAACATGAAAATAAATATTTTACGTATCTTATATTTCAATCTCCCTTCCAATATGCATATCATGAGGTAGTAATATTTAATATTTCTTTCGTTTGACAAAACGTTTGGACTGCTAAGGATTTTGCAAAAGAAATTCATTTAAAATTTTTCTGTATTTTTCAAATATGTTTGTTTAATCTGATCTACAACAACAGTTCAATTTTTCATATGAAGAGACAGCAGAAAAAATATCGATACTTATTCTCATTAGTTAGAGGATCGCGAAGGAAGACATACTCATATATATGTGTCACGTATATATATATATGCATATATTTGTATGCATATTGAGTACATATATATCCATATATATAAACATATATGAATGTATGTATATGTGCGTTTATGTATATATAAATATATATATATATATATGTCCATGTGTATGTATATACATATATATATATTTATCTATGAACATACACCCGCATACACTGAGTTTCGCTGATTCAAAGGGCTTGGGGCTTTGTTGCTTTCCTTACCTGGCTGTCAATGTTGGATAACACTTCAACTGACGTCTTCAGAATATTGCAATTATTTTAATGAACACCTTGGGCACGTGACCACCTCCACTGTGGTGGTTCCCTTCCCCTTGAACTTGACCTTGAACTGATGTGATGGCTGACGATTTCTTCACACACTACGATCCGTTTACTAACCTCTCCAATGCGCAGACCCACTTCATGGTACTCAATAGTTCCTACATAGTTTTGGTGGTCAGTGTTTATCCGAATTTCTTGGTCACTAAGGGAACGAGTTACAGTACGGGTATGATACTGTGGGAGGGAGTTGGGTGTATGTGCATGTTTAAGCGACCTTGAACCTCCCAGGCAGCCAGACCCAAAAGCTGATTGCTTTGTCATTCACGCACGTAGCTTGCCAAGGTTTCCAACTCATTTCTCTCAGATAAATTATTGGATTTCAGAGTAGCATCGTCAAAGTTTATGTATATATGTGTGTGTGGGTGTATGTCTGTGCATGTTTGAATGT